ATAACTGAGTTGTGGGACCCATTGGACCAAATATTAAAGGTGCAGCTCAGCGCCTCAGTTTATCATTTAAGACCCTGAGATAACGGCACGTATCCCTGCACTTCATTTCCACATCAGTATTTCGAAACTTCTTTACTATATTGCACATCATTCCCTATTAGAAGCATTGCTGTCTTCGGCAAGGGTTTACACCAGGCAGTTTGTTTACCCCTCATCATTATGTACAGTGGCAGTGAAGGTAATTTCTGCAAGGACGCTTTTAATACGCCGAGGGGGGCGAGTGTGAACTTTATGGGAAATAATCTGCACAGGTGACGGAATTAAAAGCCGCGTCGGGTTGAGTGTTAGTGCGACCGCTCGCTTCATTGGACGTTCTAAAAATGACTTCCAGATCTTTACCTACCACAGCACCACAGAAATCCATCTCACTAACCTCCCTCTAAGAGCGCCTTTATCTGGGCTATAATCCTGGCTGTAATGTGGCCTCGTTAGGAAAGCACTGCTGGCCCACACCAGCAGCAACACGGGGAAAAGGCCTCAGGCACCACTGGAATTAATTACAGACAAAAGCGATGGTGTTTGCAATTGTCGTGCCAAATTTATCACCAGCCACTTAATGTGCCTCGTCTGAACTGATCCACACTAGCTGAATTGCCCTAGGGCATCTATTCTTCCCCTCGCAGGGGTGTGTCAGTACCAGAGTGTGTGTCTGTGTGTGTGTGTTTTGTGTGTGTGTACCAGGCAGGTCTGCATCTGCTGGGGGCCTTGCCTAAATCCTGAGCTGGAGGCGGAGTGTGTGCTAACAATGCCCCCAGCAAATACAGCGTGTTGGAGTCTATAACAAGTGTGAACGCCCTCCACCCCCCCACCCCCAGCCAGTGCTGACATGTTTAATTCTGTCATTTTTGTGATGATAATCCTTGATGTGCTTGGATGTGGTGTCAGGAGTCATTTGCTGCACAGAAAAGTACATCTCTACACTGTTTGGTGGTTGGAGGTATGACATCATCATCGATTAGGAGGTGGAAATATCTGTGTTTCAGTCATGTGGACTGAACACATACAGTAGGTGTGAGGTATATACATGGTACATACTGTATGCAGTACATAATGTGCATTAAAGTTCCATCTATTTTCATTAGCAAAATACTTGTTGGTTAATGAGTCAATCTCAATACAAATATTTGATCATTTTAATATTTAAAAAATATTAAATATTCTAGTAAACCAGAATGTCTTTATATAATAAAGAAACTCACCAGTCTTTTTTTTCTCTATTTCTATTCTTTGTTTTTACCATTATTAAGTAATGGGGAAGTTGCTCTGTGGAATATTGTACAATTAAAAACCAAAACCAGTATTTGGCAACAAAACAACTCAATGGACTGAAACCTTTGTTTTTCTTGGAATGTAATTTAAACAGAATACTTTGGATTTTTTTTGAGTGTCGTTTGTCTTTTGTAAAGTCTATAGAATACCAGAGTAACATTTCAACCGTTTAATAAAGTAGTTCAATAGCTGTGGATTAGTTTTAACAAATTTAAATGCAATAGTACAAATGATATTTCCACTATTGGTCAGAAACTGGTCAATAATAATTATTCAATCGACTGTTGCCATTGGCAAACGTAGTGTTTTTTTAAATTTTTTATTTACTTATTTATTTATCATAATTCACTTTGAAAATGTAAGAAAATGGAACATATTTTTATTTTTTTATTTACTTAATTATTTATCATAATTCAATTTGAAAATGTAAGAAAATGGAACATATCGATGTGAACCAAGGTCAGGTTTGAAGAAAATAGCCAAAATGGTTATTCATATTATTAAAATATTAGTATCAACCTCAGGTCAAGTCAGAGATTTCGCTGGAACCCCGTCATCTGCATGGCTGTTTACATCAGAAGGACAAAGGCTGTCCCGAACGCACACTTACACATAAGCCACCATTATCTTTTTGCTTGTGCAGCTGAAAATCTAATACCGTAGTTCAATAATAATACAGAGGGGACAGCTCATTGGTCGCCCGGTGCTACAGCAGAGTAATGGCTGCGAAGGAATCCTGCCTCCTGAAAACTAATGTGCAGGTGCTCCGGTTCAACTCCAGGAAAAATGCAGCGAAAAACGCGGTATCCACAAGTGCATAATGTCTCATCAACGCTGATCTGTTATCAATTAAAGCAAAAGCATCTCATTATATTAATGAATGGCCTCGGCCTGTAATAGCCTGTCTTATTGATGTGTGAACGAGCACACACCTCCTCACACAGCCGCCTTTGTGAGACACACGCCATCAGCAGCCCGGAGGAAGATTTGCAAGGATGAGGAAAACAAGAACGGGAGGGAGAAAAGGGAAAAGCAAAGAGAGAAAGTGAAGGACACCAGAGGCTACTCTCAGAGGGACTGCATTATTCCAGCAATTGTCATGCAAGCCTTGTTGTAAGTAATAATGTGGCCTTTAATGACGGAATGATGGACCTGCCAAACACTGCTTCTGCCATATACTGTCTGCATGTCCCCGCCGTCCGCCTCCTGCAGACCCTTCTGGGACGTATTAGCATATCCTCGTCAATTCACCGGCCACTTTAACATAATCCATATTTGCTGGGTAAAGTCCAACAGCCAGCCTTTCCCCATGCAGCGGTCATATGACGTTATGACACACTCCCAGGGTTCAGCCTACATAAAGCATGCTTGGGCAGCTAAGCAATGCAGAAATGCAAAACAGCAGGGCACAGCGCTCCCTACCTTGCACCTAGAGGGACAAATCCCTTCTGGCCAGACATCTCCAGACTGTTACCTTAGTATTCCTCCACAACAGCATTTGTGATTTTTTTTTTTATTCTAAGACTTGAGGAGGAAAAAAAGGGAGTCTGCTGTCATGGTTGGCAGTGGCTGTGTAGAATACACTGAGCTGCTGAGGCATGTCAAAGTAAGGATGCTTCACCTATCAGGGAATAATGCCATATTTTGATACACATTTGCTCGGTAAATATTCCAACTGATATCTCTTCATGCAAAAAGGTGGAGTACTGAAAACCTGAGTGTAAATGCACGAGTCACTCTCAACAAAGAGATACTACAGTAATGCCTGGTAAACCTATGAGAGAAATACTCTCTCCATAATCAAGATATAAACTATGATGAAGATTAAGAACACCGTTATTTGTCCCTGAGATGAGAACCCTGGCAGCAGCAGATATGGGTTTTTTATCAGAAAAATAATCCAAACATTTCAAAGATACACACGGAATTTCTAAAACGTATGAACCATAAGTCAAAGAGCAAAGCCAATGCTGCGGCAGTGATAATTAATTGTAAAAAATAACCTCGACACCCATGCATAACCAAAGGTACAGCTTCGTGGATGAGTACAGCAGCTCCGTACTGCAGTAGAATATATTGCACTGTACAGATACTGTAGTAAAACTGCTGATGTTATCGACCCAGTGTTGGGGGAAAACCAACCGATCAGACGCTGCACCAAGGAAGGCCAACTCTGTCCATGCACCTCGTGTTCTATCAAAGCCATTCCACTGGAGTTCTGAGAGGCGGACTCATCCAGAAGAATCCTTCTCTCACCCATTTGAAAACCAGAGCTGTCATGAACCATCATCACACATGCCTTCTGAGATATAATCTCTGAGAACTTTTAACCCAGGAATCTCAAACCCTGCTGTCAAAGAGAAGGCAGAGCGATCTCAGGATCGTGACACTCAGTCAGCAGCAGCAGTCACACAGCTCTGGGCCCGGAGCTGCTCAAACGCTGGGCTGTCTGGCAGCAGGAGCGGGGCCACAGGCTGAATTTCACAAGCATTCGTGAGATGCTCCTGGTCCAATGGAATCCAGTTATGGTGCAGCGATGGTTGAATACATCAAGGCTCCATATTTGCTTACTTAAAATATTTTAACACGACTTTTGGGGGGTAAGTAGAGTGGAGCAAATTGTACAACACCAGGGGGGGCTATAAATATTTCAGGCGTATCAGTTGTCAGATCCACCTGGTGCTCAGGCTACACACCTCTAGTTAAGGCTGAACTCTAACTGAGGTTGACTTATGATAATCAGATCCATTCACAGCACGGTCCTCTTCACGTGTACTGGACACCTGCTTCATTCAGGAAGTTCTGTGGAACGGTTACTTCCTGCTTTCACCTCTTGAACAAACACACACTGTTACCGACCACTCGTTACCACTCAGGTTTGAACCGGTTATTTTCTTAATTTTTTTCTCTGAGACAAGAGCAATAACTACTTTTGTTTACAGTAGAATAAGCTATGAGCTGGTCGCCTTTTTTCGCTAACCTTTAGCAATGTTCTGCTAAAGTTATCACTAGGCATAAGATATCTTTGACAAGCTACGATATTTTTCAAACTGCAAATTATTCAGGTTTCTTTTCTGTTTTCACTATATTTTTGGCTAAATTTTAGTAACATCTTCGCAATTTTAATTGTATGCTTTGGCTTTAGTTTAAATCAATTTGAACTTTGATCTTTTTTTGATTCATCATTAGTAGAACTTATAGAAATTACTTTACAATATCATTATTGTTACCTTTATGCTCTTTAGCTAAGAATTAGCTCCTGCCAAGTATTAAAAATGAGATCCTGCTTTTTTTAATATTAAAAATATTAGTGCTAGTATTAAAAATGAGATCCTGCTTTTTTATATACATATATACATACTCTATTCTATTGGCTACATTTTAACTATTTTATTTTGTTATTCTTTATTACATTTGTATGACAAAAATGCTTAAAGATACATTTTTTAGCTTGTTCACAGCTGTTTTAAATCTAATGTCTTAAGGAAAGGCCTGCAACATTTGTCTTTAATCTTATTAAAATCATATAAGGAAATTGTATGGTTTCATTTGTGCAGTTCAGACCCGTCCGTCCGCCCTCCCCCCCCCGGCCATCCACCCCCCAGAATGGAACAGAGAGTAAGACGCTTCTCACAGGGATGTCATAGTGCATGTCATCAGGCTGGTAAAATTGCACTGCCAGTGGGTAAGCAGCAGGGGTCACATGAGGCTCAATGTGGACTGCAACATGTAACGCATGGCAGACCACAGTCTGAGAGCTGCCCAGTAATGACTCCAAAACATCCCCTAAAAAGATTGAGCGGCGGCTGTTCTCATCCAAAACAACTGGGCTCCAACACACACCAACATGCAGTACAAAGGACACGGCTCTGAAGTAAAGCCTCCGAAAAGGAGCAGCAACACAAACAAACTATACAGACCAGAAGAACGAAGTGTAGTGTATCTGGAGAACAAAGATGAACAGAAAACTACTGTCTGGATCTCCTGGCTGTTAACCCTGGAGTTCTTTCTAGTTATAATCTCTTCCCTAATCTTGTTTTAGCAGAGGATTGTACGTTTTTTTTAGATTTTGATTTTTTTTAGTCTAGCCAAAATTCAAGCTGTAAACTGTGTGGATAACTTTGATAGCAAATGTTAAATGCCTGTTTTGTAGGGTTTTTGATTGTGATCATTTTGAGATTTTTTTTTTTTTTTTTTTGGGCCAAATAATAGCCTTTTGACTTTTGTTGTTCTGTTTTGATTAAAATTATTTTGTGCATTTTCCACACCAGCTTTTATATGTTTGCCTAATCTAGTTTTTGGCTATTCTTGGAAAACCTACAGTATGTGTACTTTCCTTTTTTTTTAAATGGGTTCAATGATTTGGCTTGGTTTTCCTGTTTGACTGCTGATCTGATTTTCTGCATTCAGGCTCACTTATTGATCTCTTTTTAAACACCATAACATGAAAAATAACTAATAAAACTGACTCTCTTTTAGTTGTCAGATTACGATTATTTTAACAAATTTCTAAAAATAATTCCAAACTGCTTATTTGCTACTGTATGAATACTATAATTTATTTTCTAGATTCTATTTAAATGTTTGGCTAACAGTTGGCTAACCATAGGCTAGTTTTGTACATTTCTAGCCAGGAGTGATTTTTACTCATGTTTTAACAAATTTCTGCCTCTCTCTCTCTCTCTCTCTCTCTCTCGTCACATATTTCTCAGCTACGATGTAAAGTGGCTCATGACTAACTTTTAGTTATATTTACAGAAATTTTGTTTACATTTTGTATGAACGTTAGCCTTCCGTACATCTTTGTTCTATATGAAAGCCCCGTCTCTCCGCCCACTCATTAGGAGAGGATTGTAAGGATTTGGCTCTTTGCTCTACAGTAATCAATATATCAATAGTTTGTCACTGAGATCCATCTATAACAGGGCAATTGTTAAGAAGCTTGTCTTCATGTGGAGATGATTCTCATTTAGGAAGGATTAAACAAATGACTGCAACATAAAGGACGAGTTCCCTGGGTTTTTTTTTGGGAGCGAGTCCAAGCATTTGCCCTCGTAAACACAAAGCCCCCACGTGAGTGGGAGCGGCCTCAGTTGGGCAGACAGCAGAGGGACTTAACAAAGCTAATTAGGAGAGGATGACATGTTAAAGTGAGCTGCGGCTCGGCAGTCAGCTCCATCACATATGTTTCCTTTGTGGCGGCTGAAGTGGCTCCTTTGTTTGTGAATTGATGGCGTTTCGCTCCGCCGTCCCTTTGGGTGGAGGCACTGACCTGCGAAGGCCCCGACAGTAAGAGAAGGCTCTTTTCTCCGCCTGCCCGATGCCTGCTGCTCCAGCTGTCCCGCTCCCTCCCCAAACCCAAACCTTCCCACAGCCCAGGATGCACACAGAGATGGGCAACACCTGTAAAAGAGTGAATACCCCCTCCGCCCAGGCACCTCCGAGCAGCTTGCCCACCTGCTACTGAGCTCTCTGGGCCCTGCAGCTTAAACGCTCATTTTGTGCCTCTCAGCACGGGACTTATTGATATAAATAGCTGTGCACAAAGTGCACACTCTGTTTTCTCTTGGCCTGATCTAGAAGGTGTGTGTGTGTGTGTGTGATTATACTCAATGGCAGCCTCTTTCAGGTGGGGATGAAATATGAGCAGTTTGGACACTGGGTAAATGACAATCTCTGCTGGATTCACTAAAAAATGATTACATCATAACTGACATATATCGAAATGGACAACCTGATTCGGAGAGGCCTGTTAAACAAGGACTCGATATCTAATATGTAGACACAATATTCTGTGGGGCCAACATTACAGACTGGGCCATAGACAGTAGATAGATTTAATGATGACCTTACCATTTGTCTTGATTTGGCTTGTCCTTCCTGGGCGCCGAGACGGACGCAGTGTCCTTGAACAAAACACTCAATGGCTATAATGAAGACAAGAGGACAGACAGTACATAAAGACACGGCAGTGCAACTCCACCAATGTCCTGTTCTGTTAATTCTCATCTAATACGCATTTGGCAAACTCTGGCCCTGGGACCAATTGTGGTACATCGATAGGTTTAATGTTACTTCTCTTTGTACTTCATACTTGGCATTCAGGGAAAAAAAGAACACCGTCTGCAGTGAGGGGATTCAAAAGCATTTCTTTAAATCTACAAGCTATTTTGCTATGACACAAATCTATTTCTGTTAGCCTTTTAAGGGTTTTATGCTAACCTTGTTTCTATTGCTTTTATTTACTGATTTTTATAATCCATATACATATGAATATATATATATAGACAGAGAGAGAATCAGTCATTGTTGGCTCTATTAGATATATTTTGGACACCAGTCTATTTCAAAAACAAAGTGATATATTTTTTGCACTTTTGGTTGTTTTTGATATGAGAAAATTTACTATTGTATTTGTATTTTTTTTTTTCGCATTTTAGTGCAGAGCAAATATACTATAATTCAGCCTGTCTTTGCAGAAGGAAATTTTTTTTTTTTTCACATTTTAGTGCAGAGCAAATATAATATAATTCAGCCTGTCTTTGCAGAAGGACCTTTCACATGTGCTTCAGCTCTCACAGCGCTGGGATCACTGTATTAAGTCAGCCGCTGGAGCCGCAAACAAAGTTTGTTAAAGGTCAGTCTCTTTCATTCACCTACGCCGACATGGCAACAGATTAATCCTCAGCCATTAAGATGACAAGGCAATATGTGGAGCAGTTGAGTGTAAATAAATACATTGAGGAAGAGATAATACATTAGGCTGCTGACCAGGCTCTTCCATTACAGCAGCACATTTGTTTCCATACAGGCTGGAGGAGCCATTCAGCGGATGGCGGCGTCTTTCCTTCATGAAGTGAAGGGGAATCTGGCCTCTGAGAGGAACATAAGGACATCAGGACTGGCCCACATTAAGTTTCATCACAAAAGTCATCTCAGCCGCCAGGAATATAGGCTCTCTCTGCTGTGCGCTCATAAAACGGAAAAGATATAATACACAGCCCTGGGTTTAAGAGCTAACAATAGTTTTGTCTCCATTAGGTGTTGTAAGAAAGAAGGGGAAAAAAACAACAACGACAACAACGACAACAACAACAGGGAGAGGTGCAGCTGGTGCCTCGCTATGTCACAGATATGTCTGTTAAGAAACCCAGAGCAGCAATGATTCTCCACCAACAAGGAAACCAGTCTGAGATGTAACAGGAGGGAAAGGCTTTAAATGCACCTTCAGATTTACAGACTGCGTTTTCCTTTTAAACCAGTGCAGGTGGAAGACGAGAACAGAGGCCGTAGAAGCCAAGTGGCTGCATTGATTTTGCAGTAATTGATCTGATGGTTCCTTGTGATAATTGACAATTATCCCTGATTACCAGACAGGGGCTTAAAAATCAGTCTGAGAAAATGACCAGCATTATGGGTTGTTGTACAATGGCTGAACAGAGATAAATCGATGGCGGCTGAGAAAAGTGCTTAGAAAACAAGACAAAGAGTGTCACGGCGGACCACATGCTGCTCTAACAGCCCCTGATTCAACATTTACTGCTACAGACACCACTCAATGCTGAGCTTCAACGAGAAGGGAAAACGGACGTGGTGCTAATTTATGAGCATGACAATCTGTTAACATAATTAACTGCAAATTGGAAAATCTAAGGGAGTGTGTGCGTCAGTAAACCTGCACACGTCTGCATCTTTGACTGTGTCAGTGCATGTGTGTGCGTGTGCGTGTGTGTGTGTTGATTCATGTCTATATCTCTGCGTTCCCGTGTCTCTGACCTCAGCTGATTGAGCCTCTTGATTCGAGCAGACAGATGCAACTCATTGTAGCTTAATAAATATAGAGGCCCACGGGGATGTGGGCTAAACAGTTCTATTAAGTTGGAAACATGTCAGCCAATATAGAAGCAGCTGACCCCGAGAAAGGTCAGCAGTGACACGCATGTTTACCCAGGAAAACAACCAGAGGCTGGAAGGTCTCGTTTTATCCAATGACTTTAAAGAAAGAGAGGGAGACAGAAAAGAGGGGAGGGGGGAGAGAGAGAGTGTGTGTGTGTGTGTGTGGCCTCTTGCTTGTTGGGTTTACATGAATTGGGAGGAAGAGTCCTGTTGTCAGAGAGATTTTTTTTCTTTTTCACAAAAGAAACACGTGGATGGATGCAAGCTCAGACGAGCAGAAGGACAGACAGAAGGACAGACAGAAGGACAGACAGGTGTAACAGAGAAAAGGAAGAAGGTAGACCAGTGGTTGGCTGGTCAGCCTTATCGTCGGAGAGGTGCTGGTTCAACTCCCAGCCACAGCAGTGAGCCACAGAGCCTACTCTCTGTTTCCACAAATACAACACAAGTTTCTTAACAGTCTTTGGTCTTTAATGGCTGATTTCCTTCTTTATTATTGACAATATTAACAGAGTAACAGGAGACAGATCTGGACTGCAGGCTGACCAGTCAAGCAGATTTACGTTGTTTATATGGAGGTCAGGTATCGTCCTTCAGAATTGTTTTTTTTCGTCGATGCTACTTCTTACAAACAAAGATCCACAGATTTCTTCTATAAAAAAATAATCTAACACTTTGATGAATCATTACACACAGGACATGTTCAGTTTGTCGTCCATGCTGAGAGGAGAAACGCTGACAAATCAGTAGCATTTCTGTAAAGAATTGATGTATGGCTTCTTCTTTACAGAGGTGACGCTGAAATCAAACCAACTTCCAGACCAAACTCCTGCAAGGTATGAACTGCACCCAACATCACACAGACACGTGCACTCCTGCCACAGCACAATCAATGGCTACGATATTTCTTTGGCCCACGTTGGCGTTGTCTGAATCTATTTCCTGTGCTCCAACCTCACTTTTTCTGGGAAAGCAAGTTCCCCCGTCTGGGCCAGAGTTTGACTAAATGGTAAGTCTTGAATAAAATCTAGTAATTTTTTTTTCTGTGGTGTATCCTCAGCGTTAGTCATGCAACCAGCAGAGAATGGAGCTGATTATACAGAGACGACCCTCACTCCTCCTCATATTTAGTGTGTGAGAAGGCATTAGGAATAAGAACAAGCCCTCTCTGCTCCCACTGCGACGGCACTCCGATCCGTGTCACTCAGAAACAGCAGAGGTGAGAAGCCTCTCTTTTTTTTTCTTCCTCTTCTTCTTCTTCACTCATCTGCCTCTGCAATGTTTAATCAGCAAATCAGAACATGCAGGGAGAGGAATCGCCGTGCTCGCTGAGCATATTAGGGATGCAGTCGCAGCGTTAACTAGCATTGATGAACTGTTTGCTTATGCAGTAATAATTAACTTCCATTACATTACTTTGTGTGATTACTTTCTTAATTGCCTGAATTATGCATCAATTTAATATCTAATAACCAGTCTCAGACATTAGACAGTGTTCAGACACAAATTGAATGTAGTTTCCTTGCTTTAATTAAACAGCCCAGAATAAATGAAACGATGCAGGATGGATGTCTTGCAGTGATTTCCTGGGTGCTTAAATATGCTATTTATTATAAAAGCATATGAAATTCAGTTTCTCCTCAGGAAAGCAAACCACAAGATGCCAATTACAGTATGCAAGTTGCTATGCCATGGTGTTCTCAGAATCTAGACTAATAAATTTGTTGAGTGGGACTCATTGTTATATTATGCAAATACATTACCATGCCATTTTTTAAGTTTCAAATTCTTTGTGTGGAGCAAAACATGTCCCCAAAGATGATTTTAATTACGGAGCAGAGTCTTGTTTTGCTCTGTTGTCGTCCTCCTCTAAGGAAGCAGTGAGCCGGGGCAATAAATTAGACTCAATACAGATATTCAAATTATTTCACACATCACTTTGGTGCAACATATCTAATACATGAAATATGGTCATGTTTGCAGCTGGGTGATCTATAAAAACACCATACAGGCATTTCAGCCGTAGCACAATTATCAGAATGTTATGTTAGACATGTGGTGTGAGGGCGAAGCAGCTCCTGGAATGCGATGCAAAAATAAACATCTCAGAATTAGGCCCATTTTTCTCAATCGCTCCCTTCGTGGTCCCCTATTTAATTTTGATTTACAGGTAGTGAAGCGACTGTACGTCATTTAAGCAGAGCATAATTAAGAAGCAAACCCCTGGAAGCACCGGGTCATTCAATGAATTGATATTAACTTTTAGTCCTGTTGTATCATCATTTTAGCCTCACTCAGAAAGTGACGCCTTCACTTATAGAGAAAAATGAAGCCTATTTTCCTCATCAGCAATAGTTTGGCAAACACACAGGGACATGTAGCNNNNAAGGGACATGTAGCCGGCGCCGCAGCAGGAAAGCTGCGAGAGGAACCTTTGAAAATCATAGGATTGAGAGGAACGTGTGGGTTCAGACCACATTTGAATAACAGAAATGCAAAATATGCTACGTTTCAGGGCAGAACTCAAATAGCCCGAGGTAAAAATGTATTTAGCAGATCTAAACTCACACCAGTCCCTGTGACTGCTGTGAGGTCTGGCAGCATCGTTAGTCTGCCTCTTTTGAATGATCTCCAGAGCTGGTGAGCTGCTGGCAATGCAAGGTTAGACAGAAAATGATGGCAGCACGCCGATGCTTCACAGACCTCATGATAGTTTCCGTCTGTCATTATTTACGTCTGACTAGTCGCGTCATGTCAGCTACCTAGAGAGACACTTTTAATGTGATACCCCCCTCCGCTCTCCTATTGCTTTTCACAAGCAGTGTACTATACCATTATTTCTTTGCTTCAGTACCTTTAGGTGCGGCTCCACCCGCCTCCTCCTCCTCCTCCTCCTGCCCTCCTCCCCATCAGACTGAATCAAAGACAGATCTTCTGCATGCTCGTGTTCTTATAGACATGGCACAGAGCAACACAGCACACAGAGAAAAGACATTCTGCATCGAATATATGAAAACATAAGAAAAAATATAAGAAAAAATTTAAAGTGATAAGGTATGCAGGGATTTTTGGGAAATTAACTGTGTTAACTCCATAGGATTGTGGAAATGGTGAGCGGTAGAAAAACCAATAGGTGGCAGTACAGCATCTCAAAATGGATGTCTCCTCTAATTAAATGAGGAAGGGAGGGTCGGGATCAGTTCACAGCATGACTAACCTACCTGTATGTACCAGATACAACTAGTTTATTTAACTCGTAATTGTAATTACAGTGGGTCATTTACTAAAGGTTCATAGGTCACGTCACTTACATACAACTCAGTTACACAAACTTTCCACAGCATTTGAGGTAAATGCACGACTAATACCTATACTGCTCATACTATTCTTATTTGATCATCCTTTTTCATGAAGGCCATTCTATAGAGAATGTCTTATGGCCAATGACAATGTCTTTATATTTACTCGTATTATAAAACAAACGACCAATGATAGCAGACCTTGCCCTCTAGTGATCCAGCAATGTAACTCACTGTGCAGTGTTACAGACAGGCAACGTCATCAACGTATCTTAACAGCAAAATGTCTTATGAGTGAGGTTACAATAAAGTTTACCCAGTGACTTACTAACAGATCAGGGCAGTTCAAATACATTTTAAGCACCCCCTACAGGGAAGGCAAAGACACAGCACGATAAAAAAAAAACAATTCTTTAGTCACTAGTTCACAGAACTGCCTCTTCACTGAAGCAAACCATGGGATGTTGTGGGGTTTTTAACCTCACTGACTAACACAACACTGGGACACAGAGCATGAGGACCATCTTATGAGTTCTCTCCCACAATATGTAATTTTTGTTGAGCGTGGTTCCTGTTACTGCGGCGCTTGTTCAGGTCATTTATCACAGCACCAGCCATGAATCAAGTCACATTGTAAAATCGATCATTGATTCACCTTATTCCCTTGTTTTTTCATCTGAGCCACATAACGATCATTAAACTGACCACGGCATGTCCAAATATGGATTTATAATGCACCGAGTGCGGCCTGGTAATGTCCGCAGACCGGTGTCCAGAGGAAAGGACAACATGGAAATACCATACATTTAGTGAGTGGTTTAAGGACAGGAACTTGTAGAAGTCCAGTCCATTTAAAGGCAGGAACCACAGAGACTGGACAGTTTTTGGCTGGAGTCCATCTCCACTCTGTTGTGCACGTGATCCCAGTCTAGATGAGCAAGCTTTAATGGGGCTGCTTAGCCCCATCATGACCCAATGAGTGCTGGCGGTGGAGTGGATGTACATTCTGTGAGAGTGTGTGTGAGAGTGTGTGTGTGTGTTCCCAGCAGGGAGACACAGCCTTATGAAGGTCACAACTGCAGCAGTCTGGGGCTTTCTAAGTGAACCCTGGAGAGGATAACAAGCCAGCTAACGCTCCCTCTTTGTGCTCTGATCCACCTGAGAATGGTGGGAGCCAAAAACACACAAAAGCAAAGCAAAACTCATACCTTGGATAATACCTCCAACACACACTGGCCTCCTTCTAACTTACTACACAGAATTATCATCTCGACTTGGGTCTCAAACAGATCAGCCTTGACCTGAAGTGAGAATTGTAGTGTTTTGCAAAACAATTTTTGCATAGTCTGTGTACACACGAACAAACAAAAAAGAGGAATACCAATCTCCTCCAGGGAGTTTCACTTCAACCACAGTGTGTGACAGTATTGGCTGGTGTTATGGCCGCCCTAATGGACAATGTAGCATTAATTCAGCTCTAGATGAACAGGCAGGACGGCAGAATCAAAAATTAGGAGGAGGCCCAAGGTGTATGAATTATGCATATTACATTACCATAACCCTACAGAGCGCTGAGTGACAAAACAATGCACTGAAAATTGTGCTTCAACAGAGATATGGAACAATTTCCTGCATGGTTCTTGCCTACCTCAGAAGTGAAATTGCATTAAGTCTCCTCAGTAGCAGCAGACCCCATATGAGAATTGTATGTTCGGTTGTAGACCAGTCCACGGAACACTGTGAAAACAAGTCAGGGATAATTGAAAAGAGCGTCACCTGGGCCGCTTACACAGGGGCCTATGATTCCACTATATGGGAATTTGGTTAAGTGGCAGGAGAGAAATTACCTTTTCCCATCGATTTCTCCTCGGACATCAAATGCAGACAAATGAAATGGAGCAATTTACTTTGTCGTCCTGTGAAACGGTATCCGAGAAAAACATGTCAGAAACTATTATTTGCAATGATGCTGCTCCTTATTAATACTGAAGAAAAAGGATAAATGGAAAAACTCAAAGGGCTTTGCTGGACTAAAACATTCATTCTGTCACAGAGAGTCAATATATCAGCTGAGTTTGTGAGAACAAAATTATAGAGTTTTCTTAGGTTATCATTAAAAATTATTAACATTTAAAAAAATCAATGAACAGTCTATGACTAAAAAGTTCCAAAATTCATATTATTTCTATAACCATCTTTGACCAAGATACAGGAAGAGTGCACTGATACCAGTGCTGGTAATACAGTACTAGTCATACTTAAAAACCTGTGCTAATACAGGGACCTGATCCAGCAGAAAAATGATATAATATTAGGAAGATATTTAGAGTTGAATCTTTCCTGTAAACGTCTAGTAAATGCATTCTCTTTAATATAGAATCATGACATGACTGACGTTTTGCCAGCTCTGTATATATGGAGGTATTGCCACCATGTGTTATATGAACAGACCAAACCTATGCTTCTCATTTTATTTTTTATTCTATGCGATGCAGACCAATAAGCTCTAAATTGCACTAATGCCAGGCTGCAGGTCTGCTGTGAGGAGCCTTCATCCACACTGCTGTGTAAAACAGTATGTGGTATTGGTAACTGCTTCTGTTCAAGCCTGGTAATCATTACCTGGCATCTTATTGCCTCTGTGGCTTTTAAGGCCTTTATTGTCTCAGCCCCGAGAAAACAGGGAGTTATAGCTGATCTTTTATTAAAACTTTAGGAGAGCGTCCCCCTCTGGAGGGGGAGGAGGGCAGTGAAGGAGGAGCGGGACAAATTAGTGTTGACAGTAGACACTTAAAGCAGGAAAATCACAGGCCCACAGGGAGGCAGGAGCCACATGGGGCTCCCGCCTGTGTAAAGAACACTCCAGATTTCACTTGAGATGCAGTCGCCTTTTAACAGGGCAGGGGGAATGTCAACAGAGGCTCTTGAATGAACCAATAAAGCCACTAAAGAGGAGAGGATTAACCAGCTGATATCAGGGACAGCGGTTTGTTTTG